CCAGGAAGACAGGACACAGCAGGGAAGGCAGACAGGCGATCAGGCAGAACACAGCAGGGAAGGCAGACAGGCGATCAGGCAGGACACAGCAGGGAAGGCAGACAGGCCATCAGGCAGAACACAGTAGGGAAGGCAGACAGGCGATCAGGCAGAACACAGCAGGGAAGGCAGACAGGCGATCAGGCAGAACACAGCAGGGAAGGCAGACAGGCGATCAGGCAGAACACAGTAGGGAAGGCAGACCGGGAAGACAGGACACAGAGAAATTGCTCTGTAAGGCACATCACTAGAATGGCAACAATACTTCGCACTGCCTGCTGGGTGGAGTGTGATTAAATAGCTGGCCGATCCAATGGTGATCGACCTCTGGTGCTCTGCCCCGCCCATGTGGGCGTGACAGTGCCCCCCCCTTGACGGCCACCTCCTGGAGGCCGAAGACGGCGAGGACGGCCCCGCGGCCTCAGCGCAGACTTGGAAGGGTGAGCGGCGTGAAAGTCCAAGATGAGAGTACGGTCCAGGATATCTGAAGCGGATACCCAGGAACGTTTATCTAGTCCGAATCCCTCCCAGTCGACCAGGTATTGCAGGCGGCCGGCCCGCCGCCAGGAGTCGAGAAGGGCACGAACCGTGTATGCAGCAGAACCATCGGACAGCGTCGTCGAGGGAGGAGGTGTTACCGCCGACAAAGGATGTGTGGAGCTGTAACGGACAGGTTTCAAGAGGGAAACATGGAAGGTGGGACATAATCGGTACAGGCTGGGGAGCTGAAGGCAATAAGAAGAGGGCCCGACTCGGCAAAGGATACGGAACGGCTCTATGTACCGAGCGGAGAGCTTACGGCACGAGGGCAACTTCAGGTTCCGCGTGGAGAGCCAGACTTGTTACCCTACCCAGTAGGTGGGACCTGGCTGCCGGCGACGATCGGCTTGGGCTTTGACGTGGGTCGAGTGTGTAAGTAGAGCCCGTCTAGCCAGGCGCCAGACCCTCTGGGCGTCCCGAAACCAACCCTCAATCCATGGGACGTTTCAGGAGGGGGAGTCCCAGGGGAATAGGTGAGGCTGGTACCCTAGCACACACTGGAAGGGAGACAGGTCCGTCACTGGACTCACCCGAGTGTTGATGGTAAATTCTGCCCAGAGGAGGTGAGAAGCCCAGTCCCCCGGTTGACCACGGCACAGGAGCCAGAGGGCTTTGGAAACTTCTTGGTTTGTCCGTTCAGCCAAGCCATTGGATTGGGGGTGATACGCTGAGGTCAGGCTGAGGGAGATATTGAGTTTACTACAGAAGGCACGAAAAACCTGGGATGCAAACTGGGGTCCTCGGTCGGATACGATATCCTCTGGGAGGCCGTTGTACCGGAACACCCAGGTAAGGAGAAGGTCGGCCAGATCCATTGCTGTTTGGAGCTTGGAGAGAGCGATTAACCGGCACATTTTAGAAAAGCGGTCCACAACGGTGAGGATGATGGTGTTACCTTTGGAACACGGTAGGTCTGCTATGAAGTCCATGGCCAGGGAGGACCACGGACAAGTTGGGATAGGGAGCGGATGTAAGAGACCCGCAGGGGCTTGATGGGAGGCCTTTACCTGGGTGCACTCTGAGCAGGAGGCCACATACTCCTCCACATCCTTCCGCCATTTTGGCCACACGTAGCGTCGCGCCACCAGTCGTAGGGTTGCGAAGGTCCCTGGATGACCAGAACTGCGAGCGGTGTGGATCCAATGGAGTAGAGCAGGACGATGGACTGGGGGTACGTACCATCGGTCCGGTGGACATCCCACGGGAGGAGGTGACCGGTCATTCAGGGGTCGGAGAGTTTCATCGAGGGACCAGGAGATGGTGGCGGTGAAACAGGATGGAGGAAGAACAGGTGTACCTGAGTCATCGGATGTGGAGGGATCATGCTGGCAAGAAAGAGCGTCGGATGGCCAGGTCAGCTTCCGGGGTCCACCTAAACTGGTTGAGACGGTTGCGGGTAAGTGATGTCAGAGGCGCTGCGATCCGGCAAAAATTTTGGATGAATCTTCAATAGAAGTCGGAGCTCCTTCACCGTCCGGGGAGGCAACCAGTCTTGGATTGTACTGGTTTTTATCAGTCTCCTTTGCAGGAGCGCAACCATCTCAACTGAAACTAACAATTTGGTTCCAGCTAATAACAGTGAAATTTAAATAATATCCCTCAAAAAGCAAATCTCCATAGCAATATTATTTTATGCTGGCAGAAAGTCTAATTTTTTGTTTTTATTTATTAATTAATTAATTTATTTATTTTTTGGGGGGGCTTTTTTCATTTCCTCACCACAAAACATCAAGGTTCATCTGTACCAAGTTAAGAAACAGCTGAAATGACACAACAATACACACCTTGTTCAAATTACACTCTCAACAACTTGGCTGCAGGCAAAGCACAGCTCAGCCACTTTCTTCTGCAGGCAATAAAAGAAATTATATTGTCCATATTTTTCCTTTGCTCCTATTTAACTTGGATTCATCATGCAGTTTACTTTCCCATAGTAGTCAACCTACCTTCAGGAAAACTTTGGCTTTTTTTCACTGTAAAGCTCTCCTGTAATGCCAATTGAGATATTTCATTATTTTCTGAAGCTAAAAAACAGCTTTTTAAAAGTTTTCACCTAAAATAACACAAAATATAAAATCTTCAACATAGCAACTAGACACCTTTCATTAAAGGAAAGTTAATATGTTAATAAGTATAAAGACATGGCATGATGGAAGGGCAATCCTGATGTGGCTTACAGATGACCAGGGGATTTTACAGATAAACTGAACTTCACAAAACAAGATACAAAGGGCCCAAGAGGGGTCAAACGAAAGCAGGGAGAGCTGCAAGACTAGCGACTAAAAAGGGAGACACACCAAAAAATCTCATGGGTAAACAAGGGCTGAATAAAAGGTAGTAAGTAAATATTTAGTGACAGATTGGC